AATCAACCGAGCGACATCCTCGCGTACCTTATTACAGTCCGCCGCTCTTTCCAACCATTGCAAACCATTGCAGCTTGCATTATTACCCGCGCCCGCAAATAGGGCTAGGGATGCGCAGAAAGCTGCGCAGTACGTTTTCCGCTCTGAATGATTAACTTTGTTGACCACGGCTGAGGCCAATGTGAGAAAAAAAAAGATCCTTGAACTTGCTTGTTTGCTTGTTTCACCACTTTTAGTCCATAAAGTTGCGAAAATTTCTCTCCCTTTACGGATTGAGCACGTTATTTGAATAATTTTTATGTAGGGCATATGTAGAAATATTTATTATAGATGAGACGCATGAAAACTAAATAGAACAAAATTACTTCTTTAATGTACGTTTATTCTACCAGGTAATTTTTTCAACGGAAAAAGGCAAGTAGCATTACAAATATTAAGCAAAAGAATATTTACAGGTGACAAAAATACTTTAATCTGATTGATGGGTGAAAATTAAAGTGTTCGATACAATGAGAACATAAAATAAAGTGGGTACAATAATGAGTAAGGCGTGTGCTTCGCGGCCGCAAATTTCTTAATACTCGATCTTTCTTAATACCCAACTGAAAAGACGTCATCAAACTACATGTACTCTTTGCCCCCAGATACTTGATCCAACTTTTCCGATTGTTCTCACTTTATCACTGCACAAAAGTAATTCTTGTCTTGTTGGAATTGATTTGCCACACGTTCAGGTCTTCATACTCTCCAAGACATGCATCAAACTGATCTGGAGTAAAACCCTTTGTCAAACAGCGCTGCTGGGCTTCTTGAAGTCTGCAGTAAGAAAAAGACCGTAAGTGAGAAATACACTCTTGGGGCGTTTAACATTTATATGTGCATGTATCAACTTGTCTCTTGTTTCTGTTTCCCAAACATTTTATTCAGCCTGCTTGCTTTGGTGTCTTGCGTAAATGTATCACAGGTTCATAAAGCTGCAAATACATGCTGATCTAGTAAATCTTGGCAAACCTGTCATTTTTACCGCTAATCAGGAACATCAGGTCACTGGCGTTTATCTTCCATGCTTGACACTAGTTGTCTGTTGTAGTTTTGAGATACGCTATTGACCTTTTACATCATCTTGATTTTTTGTGATTGCGCTTTTCTGCTCGTTTCCATTCAGAAGTTGACATAAACATCATTTGGCATTTGGTGTCCCTGAGTCACAACCGATTTAGCCTAAGTGACTGGAATTAAATGCTGATGTTTTCAAGACTTACTTCACGCTACTTGCTTCCCCAGCCATTTCTTTGATAATACCATAAATTGCATCAACTGGATTCACAGTCCTAAACAAAAACAAAACAACACATTGGTTTCGTTAAAAAAAAAAAATTATGAGCCCTTCCCAACTTTGTGGAGACAACTTTACAGATTGTGTTCCCACCTAGTGGCACCCTCGTCATCAACTAGGGAAGCCTTTGACATCTCCATGAGTCTCATGGCTTCATTCACATCTTCTTTCTCTACGACATCAGCCAAACGGAGACGAGCCTGTTCGAGCAAAACAGAAGATACAGTTAATACCATACAACAATTTTAAGGAGCTTGCAGGAGAGACTTTTTCTCAGCATGCTATTCTCATTTCAAAAGCCCCTTCTCTGAGACATGAATGATCATGACATTATTACATCTTCATACAGCATGTACTGATCTCCATTTGGTGGAAAATATGCTCAAATATTTTTCGGTGCACATTATCTGTTCCGAGAAGCGAGCAGTTTTCCAAGCGAAGCTCAAGGAAAACTGTGAGCTCTGAGGAACAGATACTGTCCAAGGACAAATAACCAAGCATATTTTTAAAGTCAAATGGAGGCTATCCTTATTATCCTCAAAATGTTTTTTTT